ATATATATATATATATATATATATATATATATATATATATATATAAAAAGAACACGCGCAGAAGCATACTATCGCTAACGTTTCCATATAGATGAATGAAAGAAGAATGAAAGTAAATTCTCTTCCTTGCTTTGCAACATCAATTGGAGAAATTAATTGGAAAAGAGATGAGAAACGTGTCTATATGAATGTTTAAGAGAATTTCAACTGCCAGAATGCTGTAAAGAGAACACCAAAATAGAAAACCAAACGTACAGTTTTTTGTACAGTTATTGTTACTGGCAAACAATTCTGGCTGATGATTTTAATTAATTTGCATTCAAGTGGGTGAATGATATCATTCTTGAATGATGAAAGAACAATAACTGTACCACAGTTGTTTGCAATATTGCCACCAGAGTGTTGTAAACAATTAAAGCAACATTCAGACCTAACATAGTATATCTATCGACATAAACAAGTCACATTGTAAACCGTAGAACTGAATTGATTCAACACACTGGCAAAAAATGGAAAATCAACACATCTCATGAAAATCGACATAAAAATGTACATTGTCTATGTATAAAGCGAACGAGTAAAGATTTGATGTAACACACTTGCACCCTTGTCAACATAAAGTAACTCTGTAAAATTCATAATTTCAAATTCGTTTAAAATTTTTTATGATTCTCACATCAAGTCTTCAGTTTAGTGGCAGTTGCGAAGAGGAATCAAGTTTGAACTTTATCCGAGCGATTTCAAAGGAGGTTCGCCGTAAAATGAAATCCCCTCTTTAAACCGCATCGTAAAATTAGTTTGAGAAACTGTCGCGGTTCGCGGCTGCTTTTAACGTTTAACCTTTATCGTATTAAATGCCATTTCATAATTGCTTCATTTACGGAAGCTGACCGCGGCTTTAATATTCTCTCTCAACTATTCGAATTCACATCTTTATTGGCTTACTTACGGCATCCAGGATAAACTCGAAATTACAGTTTGTTAACTTCCACGCTAATGTGGCTACACCCTCGTCGAGTATTCGCCCCTAAATGTTTATTTGAACGAATCGTATCAAACGTGCGCTCGTGCGTACGATAAAGGTAAACGATGAAGCTAATAAACGAAACCGAGTAAAATCTCATGCACAAACTTTAGCATGCTCTCGTGCAGCTGACGTGCTCGAGCAGTCGCAGTAGCGTAGGACGGCGGGGGCGGCGTTAGCAAGAGAGGCTGCTTAATGGTATTTTGAGTGCCATGAGCATTCGGATAAAATACAGAAGGGGCTGTAGGCGGGTACGACCCTTGGCCTCGAAGGGTCCGCGCTGCTATCGCCTGCGAAGCTGCCGATGGCGGTAGATACGGGTCCTGCTCGTCGACTTGATGGTAATCTCTTCTAGAACAAAGTCCCCGTTAATCATACTCTGCGTATGCGTTGCATCTCCTAGCTGCGTTCAACGTACATCAACACTCACCGCTTTCGAATATAGATCCAAGTGTGTGAGTCCACCCAGACTAACACCGTGAAGAACAGACCCGCGGCTAAACTCGCCAACAGCATGAAAGTTAGTCCGTACCTAGAAGAATTTCAACGGCACGTTATTACAATATAATCTTTCATCTATCCCGACCAATCGTTTCAATCACGTATTATTCTATTCGAATTTTCTTCTCTGTTTCTACTTAGATTATATATATATATATATATAGAGAGAGAGAGAGAATAAAATATAAACTCACAGTCCTAAATGACACAAGCTCTTCGCGGCATGGACGTATTGCTTGTGAAGTGGCTTGCAATCGAGTAACGTCGTCAATCCCGACATGAGCTTGTTCACGGTGGACACGTCGATCGAAAGGCTGGTCAATTTTGGTTGCAAGTGTTGCTCCTTGAACAACTCTAGCGCCAACCTGGTCACGGTGTTCATGTTATCTCTCATGTTGCTCGCCGCGATTTGACCGTCATTTAATCTCTGACTGAATGGATTGCTGCGCGTGTTCTCGCAATGCGTGTAATACGAAAGAACCTCGGAGGCTAGAGTGGACGGTACCGCTCTGGTTAAGTAACCGTCTGGGGACACGCAGAGATCACCTAAGGCCACTGAAGTCGCGAGGTACAGCGAAGCCATCAGCCAGGAGACTATCACCGCGAACAACCCAAACACGGAGAATCTGAAACGAACGTTCCTCGTGACAAATGACTTATTTGGCCAATTCCAAGTTATAGTATTTTATTCCAACATCAACATCTTTCTGAAATTCTACCAGTGCAAAAGAGATTTAAAGTCCAGTCCGGGGCGGGACACGGAAGAAAAGAAAAGAAAAGAAAAGAAACACGTACGTTATGAGAACGCATCTGGAATGTCGCGCAACTCCGACGACCAACACCACACAGAGAACGAGAAGCGCGCTGAGAACGGCCATAGTGACGGGCCACCTTAATTGCTCTATCTTCTCTCCCATCCCGATCGCGCCAGCCAGGCTGATGCCGCTCAATGGTTTTCGAATTTCGAAGCTCCGGTTCACGGCTATGTTCGTGTTCTGCTTCATGCTCTGCAGAGCAACCAACAGCAGGCTGAGCATGGTTTTATTGCTGACAGGGGCGTCGAAATCGTCTCCCAAGGCAGTCAACTGCATCTGCACTTTCTTCTTCAATGTCGCCTCGATGGTGTCGGTCTTGAAGAGAGAAAAAAAAAAAAAAAAAAACAAACATCATTTTAAGCGATTTCAGCAGCAACGTGTCCACTCCAGCGTCAACGAGATATATACTCAATCGCACTAAAGATGATAAACGAACTTCCAGCCAATCGTGGCAGTCGAGACTTGCAAAATTTTCAAAATTACCAATTACCGCGTAAATGGTTGAAATATAATTAGTAATTCCAAAGATACGAGCGTTGATTCTTAAAAAAAAAAAAAAAAAAAAAAACGAAGTTAATCCGTTTTACCGGCAATTCGGCTAAGTCAAGCCCGCCAGATAAGAATCTTTAATTAAAAAAATGGGATCTTCTTGGTGGCTGGAAATCGGATTATTTATCGCAAGACGAGTCCCTCTTCTTTCGGCTTTATTTCCATTACGGTTGTCCGCAAACTCCTCGCTATTCTTGACCCGAATTAAGAACGGCTAGTCAAAGTACGTTTGGAAGTAAAAGAAGAAGAAAAAAAAAAAATCAGAAAAAACTAGAGCACGAACTAATTATGAGCAGGTTGCAGTTCTGTTTTTTCTTTTTTTTTTTTCGATTAAAGTGCAAACACGAACGTGTATATACAAATAGACGGTAGAAAGTAGTAATGAAGAAGTTGAAGTGGACAGAGTGTTCTATTCGAGAAGTGACTACTGAAGACCAACAGAGCAAGCATTATTACACGTAGTTACAAGACCAAAAAAATATTTGACTCTTTCCTCAAACTAATTAAACAACAACAGATTTATCTCAATTAAGCATCGCTGTCTTGAACATTAATTATCATTTCAAATTATTAATTTGATTCGTACCAGATTGCGAACCTTGGAATTGTATATCTAATTAGAACGAAAGAGGAGAACGGAAGTGTATATCTAATTAGAACGAAAGAGGAGAACGGAAGTTTGAGAGGCCGGGGCAGACGAAGAAGAAATCTCGTCGGAGCGAGATTCAAAACGGACCTGATTCCGTACACCCATGAGAATACCATCGACGTTCTTCGCGGCGGCCACCAATTGCACCAAACCGTTGTGCACGTCGTCGTTACCGTAGAGGCCGACGGCAACAGCTCCGCTGCAAAGCAACGCCAGGATGGCCAGCGAACACTTCAGCAGGGTTATCGACCTCCTGGGGCGCGGTTTCCGGTCGCAGCATCTCGTTACCAGGTAGACCAGGAGTACCAGCAACGTCAGGATTAACCAGGCTGCAGGGATGCTTCCAAGTATCCCGAGGCTCTGTTAATTAAAGTTAAACGTTAATTATTGGAGTGCGTTTTTAATAAAACCGTTTGCGTACAGCCATCCCCTTATCTCATCTTTATCTTCATCTCGTCTCAATTCTCCCCCCCCCCCAGCATCTCCTCGTTCGTTTTATTTTTCTGGCAATTAACGCTCGAGTCGCGTTTCTTTCGGCGTAACCGGGAAAGTTTCTCGAGGTTTAATTAAATTTTAGATCATCGTCGTGTGACGCTGTCTTCTCTTTTCATTTTCGTTTCCATCTTTTTCTCCCTTTTCTTTCAAAATTTCCTGCAAACGCTAATAGCTCTTCCTGTTAGAGAGAGAGAGAGAGAGAGAGAGAAGGGGGGGAGTACCAGAGAAGCTTTTAAGCCACTTTCTAATTAATGCTTATTCGTAGCTGCTCACGCGATCGGTACCGTTAATTAAGCTTAAAAC